AGCTTAATATACCCGGGTAGTAATCATTTATTGAGTAACAATTTTCTTGAATACTACTGGGTATTATTTAAGGGGGGGTATTACTTTAGGGGGGTATTGTATGCAGTGGTTTACGGTATTATTTCATAGATAATATCATAAGAGTCAAAATCAAATTATTTAAAAAACAATCTCTAAAAAGTAAATAAGCATTTATATCCATTGGCATAAAAGTATATAATTGATGTTTTCAAGTATAGTTATATATTATCAGTTAACTGAAGTTTTTAAATAATACAAAATCAATTTATATATAGATTGCAATAAGATTTAATATCTAAAATTGGATAGAATTATTTTTGATATAGCTACATTATTGAAAAAGATAATAAGAAGAATAAACATCAAAATAATATATATATATAACAGACGGCTTACACCTTATTTATTAGATATATATATATACATATAATTACTCCCCGTAGCTACCGCTCAAGTAGGTGCGTAGGGCTTATTCATACATATCACTCAGGCTATCTAAAAAATTTAGCTAAAGATCTACCGCTTGGTTTATCGTCACTAACAGGCATATCCTTGACTATTGTCAGGGCTCTACCTGCCCCAAAAAAATTTTTTTAAAGGAAGGAGAAAAAAAAAAATAAAAAAAAAAATAAAAAGTAAAATTACAGTGGTCCAGAAATAACTATTCTATTGATCTTAAGTCTAGGGTGTCTGTACAGGTTTCATAGGGGTAATAATACAGAGCACAGGGTTTCCAGAGTTATAGGGATGTGATGTTGCCATTATAGCATCGATGTTAATCTTCCACTATCAGTCCTATAAAACCATACCTCTTTAAATATAGATTTAGTCCCCTTGGATGTTCACAAGAAGATCTTCTGGTTGGCCACCTAGGTTGTGTTGTCTAGAACTTAGGGTGTAGGAAGGGTGTTTGCACTGTAAGAGGAGGCCATTTGAAAAAGTCTGTCTTCTGTTGTCCTCCACTTGATCTAGAATCTGTTTCATCAGAGTTCTTGAAGCTTGCAACTCTCTCAAGGGTTAACCAAAAGTTTCTTGTTACTATCATCTTTTGAGGGTATCCATTTGCCACGATCCATACCATGGCTGGTGTGTAGATCAGCTAGTCCAGAAATGATATTTGGTGTGTGGGCGAAGAATTTCTTCCAATTCTGAAGTGGTGTCCTTTGCGGCTTGTACAAACAATCCTGAGATCTCCCAATACCTTTTAGTTATACTTTTTTGACAAGAGCGAAGTCCTTCCTATGGTGTTTCTCTTTCTATTACCTCCTGAGATTACGATAGCTGTTCAGATTTCTAGGGTAGTAGAGCTGGGCTATTGTTGCTGAATCTTTACCTATTCAGAGGAGCTAATGGAACCTTTTCGCAACGAAGGAAGGTGACCTCAATATTAAAACCAACTGAGGCATCTTGTGACCTGTACCGTGGTCGGACGGACTCTTTCGGATTTCCAGTGATGTGATAGGTTTGTGTCCTGCATTCAGACACGTGAGTACGACCAATAGGAGCTTGTTTACATTTCAAAAACTGACATGTTTCGTGTTAGCCAATTACCTTTGGTGAGGATTTGTGCTACCAAAAATTCAGGGTCAAACTGAGGTAGGCAAAATTC